GTGATATTGCTGGAATATTGCTAAAAGCGGCGTAAAACCATACTCACTCACTGCTTGGGAAACCAGAAACTCACCGTTTGTAACGGTTTGGGGTCTTCCATAATTCGTGTATGGTAATGTTTGACGATGGGTTAACACTGCTTCTACAGTCAGCTTGGTATGGGATGAAAGCCGGAAGTAATGTTGGTTTCAGAGTTTCCACGTGGGTGAAACCAAATAACATTGGTCTGCTGCTGACAGACCTGGCAAGGTAATCGGGCCTCGAACCCAGCACGTGCGTCAAGTCAATCCATTATTGCTCCTTAGTTTTTCACTTTCCACAAGATGTGGCTGATAACCGAAGCCTCTGACCAGGATTTAAGACACACCAGCAGCAGATTCTGGCACGATGAGGGGACGTAACTCTTGTGGCATATTGTGAAGAGCAATAAATGCATATATTTAGTGCTTTGTCCTGCCATCTTTGTCCTTGGGTGACTGCACACACAACAGCGGTGTGGAAGATTTACTGTACCGTCTTCAGAGACTGCTGCGATGGGTATAAAGTGTTGAGTAGTGTTTACCCAATGTCTCTTTCTCTCAATGTCCAATGTCTTACAATCTCATCGGCAGTCTTTCTTTCTTATTTTGGGGTTTTTTTGGTTGGTGTCGCCGTACAAATTTCCAGCTATACGACGTAGAGCGGTTGTCTGTAATAATGGATCAGACAATCCGGTGACTGATATCATGAACATCTATCTACGCATTTGGGATACGAAGACATCAACCAAGTCAGCGACCCTGACCACCCATACTAGTCGCCTTTTACAAGCATGGGTTCCTGAAGACCAATTCTTACCCGAATCCTTGCGGGTTTCTAACCGCCATTCACTCAGATTATCATATTTCGTGTAACCCCTTAGATAATCTAACCCTTTGAAAGCGTTATATGTAGCCTTGTCACGCACTCTGAACAGTATGTCATTATCTCTTTGGGTCCATAAACAAGCTTTTCAATAGCTGCCTGTCAACCGCGTTTACAAACGCTAACCATCCCTGAGAGAAATGACCGACCTTGAATACGAGATTCAACAGTTACGTCCCTTGTAAACCCAGTTTGCACGTGCATGGGTCGCACAACACCACAACCCACATGCCAAGTTTTCCTGGTTTAAACACGGTATATTTTTACTAGTGTTGTATTTCACTTTCTTCTACATCAACGTGACTCATATTACTAGGGGAGAGCTCATCCTCTCATTTGATCTGTGAGACGGCAGAGCGACTTTCTTGAGACACAATGCAGCCATGTTTTAAAAGCGAAATCCCAACCAAAGTACAGCGTGTGCCACGGTTGTTTGCAGAAACGCGGATTTTGTTACAGAAGATTGTCAGTTAGAAAATCAATACGGGTGCCATATTCAGAGCGAGGTGTCGTATTCAGGGCAAGGGTGTCTTATTCAGGGCAAGGGTGTCTTATTCAGGGCAAGGTGTCGTATCCAAGGCAATATAACAAGACATAACCATGCCTGGCACTATTGGAATTTGTAATGCGAAACAGACCTAAATATTGAGATAATGTGTCTACGGTTATTAGCGAAAGTTAGAAATATGGCAGTTATAAATGGGTTCCGATCTGACGGTCAGCCATTGTATTTTATTTGATGTTTCAGTATAAATCGTTTTCTTTGCATCGGTGGGATTTTATCTGCATGTTCGTTTTCATTAATATGTATTAGGGTTTTGGTAAATGATGACCATTTCTGGCGCAATCCAACTCACTTATATTGAGCTGGGAAAAGTGCACAAGACAATGTACTTTATACAACGAATGCTTGGTAGATGTGTGGTCAGATCAAGTTTTGCCCTTTAAGATATAACTGAAAAATGATAAAAGTGGGAACACGATACACGGACTTGGTAAAAATATAACAGGCTATCATAAGTTATGAAGCGGTGTAGCAATGAAACCTACTTTCTAGTTGAAATTTCAAACGTATGGGTCCGCCTCCGTGGTGTAGTGGTTAGAGCGTCCGCCCGGAGTGCGGAAGGTCGCGGGTTCGATCCCCGACCGCGTCATACCTAAAGACGTTAAAATATGGTATTTGTTGGTCCCTGCCTGGCGCTCGGCATTAATGGGTACAACAAGGACTGGTCGGCTCGGAGTCAGTATAATGTGTCTGAGTGGGGTATTCATGCTTCACTGCGGCGTGGTATCTCAGCACTATAAAACCAGCTTCAGTCTGGGCTAGTACAAGCAGCCGCACATACACATACACACGCATGCACGTCGTCATATGAGCGAAATATTCTCAAGCACGACGTTAAACCCAATTCCAACACCACCATCAAAAGTATGAACAAGGCCATTGGTCCTTGAACTATATTATTTACCCTTTCCGTCCAGCCTTTGCTTCATTTATTGCGGTAGTTTTTTGAAAGAAGAAAGTTTAGATTTTCCACTGGCCCATCGTCTCTTTTCGTTGGACCTCCTAATTTATGATACCGTCTGTAGAAATAGGTTCAGCGTCCTTAATTAGTGAGGCAATAGGATGAAATATGGTTTGGTATGAGTTAGTGAGTGAAGAAAATATGGATATACCTTTTTGAGTATTTTCCGTTATTATTTGCCTGGCATTTTAATGTGGTAAGACCAACATGTACGCTGACCATAGACTCATTAGCACGGGCATGACAAGGCTCATGATCAGGCAAGGTTCATGATCAGGTACGAATCTTGGATTCGAACCCATAATCAGCGGATCCCTAATAGTAAGGGGTGCAATTTTACTGCTAAGCGCGAACATTACTCAGCCGTTCGAAAAGACTCCGGTTGCCACAAAGATGAAGCAATGTCTTCTTGACACCTACATAACTTCTCTCCTCTACATGTACCCAGGAAGATAGGTTAGAACTGATCTTCAGTAACCCATGCCAGTCGTAAGAGTGACTAACGGGCTCGGGTGGTCAGGCTCGCTGACTTGGTTGACGCATGTCATCGTATCCCAATTGCGTAGATCGATGCTCATGCTGTTGATCACTGGATTGTCTGGTCCAGACCCGATTATTTACAGACCGCCGCCATATAGCTTGAATATTGCTGACTGCGGCATTAAACAACAAACCAACCAACCAATCCTTTATTTAACAAAGCAAGCTCTCATGATGAACCCCAACTCATATATTCCCTCCCGTGGGGACGCGTGGTTACAGGGCGATGACGGGGTGGTCATTGGATGGTCACTTGGCATATATATTTGTCATTGTACTTAATGGTGTGGGATGGTACTAATCACTGGATTGTTTGGTCCAGACTCTTCTGTTATTAAAACAGGTCTTCAGCAACCAATGCTTGTGGTAAAAGACGACCGGGTGGTCAGGCTCGCTGATTTGGTTGAACACATCGTACCCAGCTTGCGTAGATCGATGCTGATCACGGGATCGTTTGGTCCAGACACGATTATTTACAGACTGTCGTCAGAGCTGGAATATTGCTGAGTATGACGTTAAACAGACACAAACAAACAAACAAACAGAGAAACAAACAAACAGAGAACCAGCACAGACCGCCGTCATATAGCCTGTGTAATGCCGCTAGCGGTGTTAAGCAACTAACAAAGAAATCATATATTCTCAGTTGGCTGACCTTTCAACTTCTGTCTGCTCGTTCGTTGGCATGTCAAGGCCCAGCTATAGCCTTTGTTTGACACAGGTTTCTTTTTACTGCACAGTGTTTTATGATGCCCCCAAGAATAGCTTATGTTAAGAAAAATATAATTGACGTCCAAGCTGATGTTTATTTTCTGTGTACAACATACCTCTGAGTGCAGATAAACACTGTATCTTTCTTGACACACAGGAATGCAGTCTTGACACAGGCAAGTTCTATTTCAAACCAGCTATTAAAATTGGACTCTTTTTCTTGTACATTCCAGCATTCTCTTCGATTTGGGTGAAACCTTTTCCTGAGAATGGATCAGAAGTTCCCCCTTTAAGACCAAGAGTTATTTCTTTACCTGATAATATCAGCAATATACATGTATAATAATCGAGCCTGGGCCAGACATACCTGTGATTGATGCCGTCAGGTCACGCTGTCACAAAAAAGCACAAATCTCTAGATCCAATCTCCTTTAATGAAAACAATACTTTGTGGGTATATCTTCTAACACTTATCTTGGTGGTATGTGGGATCTTGTGGGGCGGGATGCCTTTAGAAGAGACGCCTCCGTGGTGCAGTGGATCGGGTGTCTGCCTTCAGCCCTTAAACTCTGCCGTTCGAATCCCAACAACGTCCACCGAAATACGTTAAAAGTTAGGTCTTGTACTTACCCTGCCTGGCGCTTGGTATTACGTGGAAATTTCTGGTCTGATCGGAGTCAGTTTAACATGTCTTGGTGACGTGCCCTTGTTAAACAGCGACATGGTATCTCTTAGGCCAGCACTATACCAGCGGCATTAGCACGGATTAAGGAACTATAGTTGCATGTTGCTATGCATGCTGCTATGTGAGGTGAGGTGAAATTGGGTTTAACGTCGTGCTTGAGAATATTTCGCTCATATGACAACGTGCATGCGTGTGTATGTGTATGTGCGGCTGCTTGTACTAGCCCAGACTGAAGCTGGTTTTATAGTGCTAGCCCACTGAGATACCATGCCGCAGCGAAGCATGAATACCCCACTCAGACACATTATACTGTCTCCGAGCCGACCAGTCTCCCCATTAATGCCGAGCGCCAGGCAGGGACCAACAAGTAGCATATTTTAACGTCTTTTGGTATGACGCGGTCGGGGATCGAACCCGCGACCTTCCGCTCTCCGGCTGACGCTCTAACCACTACACCACGGAGGCGATCTCATGCTGCTATGTAAACATACCAATTTTGATCGCATGCTCGCAGCCTAGACTCCATTACACCTTGCCACACCTTCACAACAGATCGGGACAGTCAACTCTAAACTGCAGCTCTTAAATCCAAGCACTCCTGGACAAATAGTAACTCCCCTTTTTGTATTTTCAGGAAGTCTAAAGTTGGCAGGTCGACGGATCAAGCTGGAGCTGATAGACACAGTGGAAGAGGTAAAACAGTTTGATTCAGACCAGTCAATCTTTTATTCAGACCTGAGTGAGTGAGTATAGTTTTACGCCGCTTTCAGCAATATTCCACCAATATCACGGCGGGGGACACCAGAAATGGGCTTCACATATTGTACAAATATGGGGAATCGAACCCGGGTCTTCGGCGTGACGAGCGAAAGCTTTAACCACTAGGCTACCCCATCGCCCCTTATTCAGATCTGAAGACCACAGGCCCATAGTACAAGTATATACAATGTTCAGGTATGTTTGAATGAGTGAGTTTATTTTTACGCCGCATTCACCAATATTGTAGCTATATGATGGCGGTCTGTAAATAATCGAGTCTGAACCAGACAATCCAGTGATCAACAGCATGATCATCGATCTACGCAATTGGGAACCGATGACATGTGTCAACCAAGTCAGCGAGCCTGACCACGCGATCCCGTTAGTCGCCTCTTACTACAAGCATGGGGAATTGAAGATCAGTTCTAACCCGGATCTTCACGGGTAAGATGTGTTTGAGGACCTCATGTTAAGGCTTTGAAGGGTTGCGGTTTACCACGATAGAAGTAACAGTCTGGTAGGTACTGCATGGATAGCAAAGATAAATTAGCTTTCGTGAACCCAGTATACACCAGTGACGTTGTTAGTGTATCGTAAATTCTGCAAAACGTAAATTATTGTTTTTATCAAACATGCTCATAGAACAGAGATCTGATTTCCTATCGTAGACCAAGAAACGATATTAACGTGGCTTTTAATCAACAGAGAACAACTGATTTATGAAGTTCTCGGTATTTTGAAAAAGGATTCTGTACTTGAGCTTAGTCAACATTAAATAACTCTCGTTCTATTTTATTGATTTTATATATAATTCTTTCACTGTTTGATATTTATATATTTGTGTAGTACTGAGTGAATGAGTGAATGAGAATGGTTTTACGCCGCTGTTAGCAATATTCCAGCAATATCACGGCGGGGGACACCAGGAATTAGGCTTCATACATTGTACCCATGTGGGAATCGAACCCGGGTCCTCGGCGTGACGAACGAACGCTTTAATCACTAAGCTGCCCCACCGTCCCTGTAGTAATTGAGCTATGTTAGACAAATCAAACATGGCGACCTTGGTAGCCATTTTGGGTACACACTGTCCCTTTGCCTGAATACTTTCTAATTGATGGTAGCCGATGCACCTTTCACTTAAAATGATTAATAATAAATGTAAATGAACAATATCCAGGTGAGCTATAGGTAATGTACGAATTTGTCGTATTTATTGTCTCATATTGTCAGTTAATTAAAACAAGTCAAGCAGAGATGAAAGCTGTGACCATATCAGTGGTAACAGATGCTACCACTGCACAACACGGTTTGTGAAACGTATTGATTTTTAGTTGATTTCAGTTTGTTATGAGATGATGTGATACATATTTTAACACTGCTTCCTTCAGCGTTTCCGGCTTTATGTTACAGTTCTGTCTTCATTCAACCTTAGGCTGTGAAACTATTTTCCTTTTATCGGTACACATAGCTAAAGGCGGTATGAAATACCTACATTAATGTCTAATGAGCGATCATATAGCGATACATTTCAGCACAGATATCAATCATAGTAGACTTGAAAAAAATGTAAGGTCAAGGCCAGGGTCAGCACGTGACCGACCTACGCAGTATCACGTACGCCGTGTAGATAACGCTGACCGCTAGGTACTCCGAGATTGCTATCTGACTACACCTAGTCATGTGCCTTGTCACAAGTCAGAGTCCAAGTGCAGCCTTGTTTAGTCTGCTGATGTTGTTATACGTAATACAAACATTTTTATCACGTGTTATCGTAAGGTACGATGATACGTCAGCATCCGCGGTGAAGATGTAGGTCGGATAGATTACGTCGTACGTGCCTTGTATTTGTAAGGACCGGCCGTTTACATTAGAGGGGAGGTGGGGGTCGTGATGTAATGGACGTTTTATGATTAAATATAAAGGACTAAAGGATCATAAAGACTAAACAGGTTATGTGCCATAAAAAATAGGACAAACGTTAATGGATGGTTTTTCTATTTCGAAAACCTCGGACGCACCCTCCCCCACCCATCCACCTAAAGATTGAAAGATCCCTTCCTCAATATTGAGTCAGTGAGTTTGGTTTAAATTTTACGCCGCTTTTAGCAATATTCCAGCGATATCACTGCGTGGGACGCCAGAAATATGGGCTTCTCACAATGTACCAATGTGGAGAATCGAACCCGGGTCTTCGGCGTGACGAGCGAACGTTTTAACCACTAGGCTACCTCACCTCCCCCTTCCTTAGAAAGAGAACTGACAGACGACCCTCGTCTGAATGTAATAGTAATGATGATAGTTGATGTTGGTGATGACACTCATGATGAGACAAATCGCAACGATATTCAGCAAGAATCGCCTATTTATAGGCCTTTCAGCAAGAATCGCCTATTTATAGGCCCTTCAGCAAAAAACGCCTATTTATAGGCCCTTCAGCAAGAAATGCCTATTTATAGGCCCTTCAGCAAGAAACGCCTATTTATAGGCCCTTCAACAAAAACGCCATTTTATAGGCCCTTCAACTAAAAACGCCAATGTATAGGCCCTTCAACAAAAAACGCCAATTTATTTATAGGCCCCCAAAATGTTTTAAAACTGCGGCATGAAACACCATTGGATTACCCATCCTGACAAAGCGCGAACAAATGACATACTGCCATTGTTTCTGCATTAATTCGATACTGGCTGGGATCAGCTGTTTTCAGCTTCGATGTCGCTGTAATAGCTATAATGTCACGACGCTCTCCACTGTTCCATGCAAACGCACCGACATTGGGCTCTCGCCCGATATTCAACCCCAGACACGTGGCAAGGTTTTGAATATCCATCAGTTTGAAGGTCAACGTGCCAAAGCACTGTTACAAAGGGAATCAGTAGTGCATCTATTCGTCTTACCCCGGCTTCCCATACGCAACCAGAACATTTGTAAGCTATAAAAATATCAAGTCACTTAACCTCGATTCAACTATGCATGACAAGCGCTAAGAACACGTTCCGAGTTCTGTTTCATGCGACATCCGCTAGCGTCCAATCGCCTGACTTTCTGGTTTGAAATGGTGCCAAAAGCCTTCATATTGGTCCAATGTTGTCAGTTCCTGGATTCCAGCGCTCCGATGCAGATGCACACAGGCGGTGCTCAGATATCATTGTTTCCCCATCCATTGGACAAACAATCCGGATCTGTTTTAACCATTAAGAGATAACATACGGCGAATTTTTATCGCTACAAATATCATCCTGGCCGTGTGGTCCGATGAGTTATCGTATCGCGTTGTCATAGTCTTTCATGTCTGTGTGAAAAAACCTGGAGCGTTGGGGGGCCCGTGTTCCCCCTCAATCGTGTGCAGCTTTTGAACAGGTGTAGCAAATCTAACGGGAGAGTCGGAGGCTAATAGAACCGTTCAAACTCTTACAGGTATTATTTTGTCAGGCTCTACAGCGTGTTTTTTCACGGGCTATGATTAGTGGAACGCATATTCAGTATGTACGCGGTTGTTTTACACACATGCGTCAGTTTCATAACCCCTGTTAACTACAACGATGCTGTTTCCTTGATCTATAATGCAAATCTGGCAATAAACGTTGCTTCTCGTACAGATGTTCGATCTGATACCATCATGCGATATGCCAGTTCTATTTAACTGCATGTGAGACCCTGTATTCCAGTGGAACGGGCGGTGTAGGAATCAGGGCAGGTCAACATGGTCCTTGACATGGGAAAGATTTCTTGAAGGACGTTTTATTCTAAATATTTTCTAATTCGTCTTCTAAGGCAAAGCAATTTGCTAATCAGAGTTGCGTCCCTTAGGCATGATCGTTTGTTCGAGTTCCGTTTTTAAACAGTATACCCGTGCTCACTGAAGTGGTAAACGTCCTAGGCATATATCACTCGGTCTTTCCTCCTATATCAAGCCTAAAAAAGTGGAATACTTATGAGTGAGTGAGTTTAGTTTTACGCCGCACTCAGCAATATTCCAGTTAATATGACGGCGGTCTGTAAATAATCGAGTCTGGACCAGACAATCTAGTTATCAACTGGAATACTTATGAAGATGGTGTAAAACCTCTCACTCTAGATCTGCTTATGGTGTTTTTTCAAGCTTTTGTTTGTTGCTTGCCGCACTCAGCAATATTCAAGCAATATGGCGGTGGTCTGTAAATAATCGTCGAGTCTGCACCAGACAATCCAGTGATCAACATCATGAGCATCGATCTACACAATTGGGATCCGATGACATGTCAGGCAAGTCAGTGAGTCTGACCACCCGATCCTGTTAGTCGCCTCTTACGACAAGCATTATATTTCGAGTTTTAGTTTGGTCTGACGGCAATCTGTGAATAATCGAGTCTGGATCCAGTAGTCAACAGCATGAGCATCGTTGTACGCAATTGATTATTTCGAGTATCAAGTGATTGACCTTATGGCAAGGTAGCCAAACAACACAATAACATTCAACGCATGTATATAATTCTATGAAAAGTTTTGAAATATAAATATTATCGATATCAAAAATAAGGTTAACAGTTTTGTTCGTCGAGTGTAAATCCTTTTTGGTGTTCGTTCTAACATCAAGAAGGTAATGATCCTCATTAACAGAGACCGATATGCCTTTTCTTTTTAAAAAATCACCAATTCTCAAGACAGAACCAAATGTGGTCAGGCGACCATGTCTTTATTTTGGAAACAAAAACAAGCGCTTCCGTCTACATAGTGCATATATGCAGATAACGTCATGCATTGGTATGCTAGACTTGCACAAGTCTCTAAAGTAATAATTATTAGTTTAAATTATCATTTCTATAAAATATTAATGAAATTAACATATTGTCCCTCTAAAAGACTGGTGTCCGCTTATCTAAACTTGCCTCTTTAAAGGATTGAATTACTATACATCGATGGGCTCAGCATTCAGTATAGTCTGTCTCTCAGTCCCTGAACCACATTATTTTCCCTACTGCCAAGCCCTCTCTGCAGTGCTAAAGCCCTGGATGAAGCAAGTCTAGATTTCCTCAGGTTCAGGTTCTGCATCTCTGGTCTCACTGGGGATCCTTTTCAATTTAAATGGGCTTGTTTGTTACTATCAAAATTATATATATTCAGAGACTAAACATTAGTCTACATTCAGTGCAGCCTTGGAGCAAGGCTATGGCAAGGCCTATGTCTAATGAAGGCGGCTTCCGAGGCCGTTCTAGTTTGGCGTAATTACTTCCATGGCTAGAACTAGTAGAACCCATCAATGGGCAGCTACTACAAAGTGGTGTCGATCAAGCATTGTTCCAACAGACCACCCCCCTAGGCCATGTGGTAATCGTTTGGCGGACTTCGATAATCCCGGCCATTAAGGAATCCTTTTGTGGACCCTCTTATGGAAACAGCTCGAGGAAACATGCGTGCATGTATATCTGGCCGCTCTCTGCATATGCTGTGACTACAGCTTAGCGGAGAGCTGCGCACCTGAGATCGTTTCCTTACAGCGTCATCACAACGTTAACGGCAGCGCTTTTACATTTTCCACAATAAGCCTCTTTCGGATTGTACTCTAAAAATGATCTCCCCCTAACGAGGATTCCGGTAACATTGCGTATACACTCACACCGATCCCATCACATGGACCATCAGCCCCGAACGAGCGTTCAGCGAGCGATGTTACATATTCATAATCGGGGTCTTGATTCATGTATCAAATGCCCTGATCGAGGCTACATATTGGTATCCTGTCGACGTACTTGATACATGGTTTCATTCTTTTAGTATAATGTACTAGAAAAGCTATCTCAGCGGTGTTGCTATGGAAACGAAACAGCTGATTTAATGTTGAAGAGACAGCAGTCGGAGGAGCTTGGTCTCCGCCCCGGCGGCTTTGGACAGTTAGTCATTCGATCCCCCGTTTGTGTGTCAGTTGTCTCATAAGGCGGAACTATAGAAACGAACATTGTGATATTTTTCTGTAGAAGATGGAATTAGATTTCTCATATTTATGTATGTGATGTTGTAGACGAGCAGTGAATGACGATGCTGTGAGAAACTGGAGTACAGGTATCTTATAACAGAATATGTTAGATGACGAGTTCCTGGATTCTGTGCAATGTCCACATATCTGTCTGCTTTCTATGCAATATAGAGCGAGCAGGTAGCCTAATGGTTAAAGCGTTCGCTCGTCAGAAGACCGTGTTCGATTCCCCACATGGGTACAATGTGTAAAGCCGATTTTGGTGGCTCCTGATATTGCTGGTATATTGCTAAAAGCGCCGGAAAAACGTACTCACTCGTTTTATGCACTTCAAGGCGAACAATAGAGGTTCCATGTAATTAGGCTATTGCCAGCTAGTTGAAGTGGTACTTGTCCATACGGAAATCTTCAGAGAGATCACATACAACACAGTAACTAGCTGTGAGCTTTGTTCCGGGCCTGCGTCCAATCGTGCAGAGAAACACAGAGGCAGGACGGAAGAACAATGCCTCTATGTACGACCTTAAGGTCATATTGGGCTAGCACAGTGGTTAAAGCTGTCGCTGGTCACGCCGAAGGCCCATGTTCGTAGATGTGCGAATCACATTTCTGGTGTCCCCCTCCATGAGTATTGTTAAAAGCTGTGTAAAACTATATTCGCTCACCCTCGAATATTGAACCTCCTATGTTAATGGGGATTTAGGTTAGCTTAGTGGTGGTCGAGCCCGGGGCGCGATGGGCGAGCTGTCTAAGGCGCCAGGCTAGTAGTCCAGCGAGCTTGGAGGTGCCGGGATCGAGCCCACCTGTGACCGGGTGTAAAAACCTTGGAGTCAACTTTGTGTGCAGACTCTTTCATTGTTGTCACAACCCCTAGTGTACAGTACACAACCCTGTGCACTTAAAAGAACCCACGAATCCGTTGGTAGATGAACAGAATACGTGCAAACACCTAGTTGCGGGTACAGCAACGTGCAGTGAAGTTGGACAAAGTATGTGTCCCAGTCCACCCAGCTGTGAATGGGTACCTCGTAAGGATGGGAAAGCCACATTAACTCGGTGCGCCTAGTAGGCAGCAAGAGTTGTATGCTCCCCAGGGAGTTGAGATTGAAAATACGATGTGTCGTTGTGATGGACATCCAATGATCGAGGAAAAACAAAGTGCCTTTGAGCAGTTGTACTGGATATCGGCGCTATAGAAATATTTGTATGTATGTATGTATGTATATATGTATGTATGTATGTATGTATGTATGTATGTATGTATGTATGTATGTATGTATGTATGTATGTATGTATGTTAAAGCGTTCGATTGTCACGCTGAAGACGGGTTTGATTATCCACATGAGTCCAGTGGATGAAGCCCATTACTGGTGTCGCCCCACGTGATATTGCTGGCATATAGGGGGTCATGTGGACCAGCGGCGCATTTTAATTCATTTCAGTTGGCTATGTTGGGGTAATCTGCTGGTAGGTTTGAATCCTAGAACCTTGTTTGCTTACGATGGTCGTTGAGCTCCACAAAATGTTTCAGAGCGTTATTCCCACAGGTGTACAGCTGGGGACAAGAGATACTGGCTTTACACCTTGTACACATGTGGGGAGTGTGAGTGAATAAGTTTGGTTTTACGCCGCACTCAGCAGTATTTCGGCTATATGGCGGCGGTCTGTAAATAATCGAGTCTGGAACAGACAATCCAGTGATCAACAGCATGAGCTTCGATCAGATGACCTACGATGACATGTGTCAACCAAGTCAGCGAGTCTGTCCACCCGATCCCGTTAGTCGCCTGTCACGACAAGCATGGGTCACTGAAGCTCAAGTTTTAACCGGGTCTGAAACGGACCCCATAAGTGTGTGTTAGCACTAGGCGACCCAGCCGCATCAGCTGATACGTAGTTTTCAAAGCAGCGTTTTCTAAAAGCGGCGTAAAATTATACGCACTCAATTAATCACTCTCGTATCAACTGAAGTTAAAGACCACAGTGGTCTCTCAGATGTGAAGTCACCAACAGTTATGTCATCGCTGTCCAATGTCAACATGGCATACTGATTTGATTACGCTGGTTAACTTCTCTTGTTGACTAGGGCTAAAACCCATTCACTCACTCGTATACAATTACATATTGCTGCTTTAAGTACGCAAGCTCATCACACCCGACACTGCCATTAAAATATTTGTTTTTCCCCAATACCGAGTCAAATAAATAGCCCTCTTCCCCAGTTGGGCGGTGGACCGTAGTTATTGATTATTTTAAGTAAACCTGGTGTTGGTTTTATCCTGCACCATATTGCGATTCCGTACAAAAACCAGTCACGCTTCCAGGAACCTTGATACTCTCAAAATCGATCGCGATAAACTAATGATAACCTTCCTTGCTTAGACCGTTGCTAATTTGACTTTAGGGTGTTCGATGGCTGAGCTTGTTCAGCATTTAGTGAAGGAGTTCTGAGGCTAATTTGGCGTTCAATGAGCGAGTGGAGTAATGGAGTTTTTCTGTTTCAGGATGAGAGGCCGATAAGGAAGGAGATATACGAAGGAACGGACATTTTCGTGGTGTGTTTCTCGGTAGTACAACCGGACTCTCTCCAACACGTGCAGGACGTATGGCTACCGGAAATACGTCAGATCGCACCGGAAACGCCATATATACTAGTCGGAACCCAGGCCGATCTTCGTGAGGTGACAACGATTCTCAGACTTCTCCGCTCGAACGGACAGAAACCCATCTCAGCGGCCGAGGGGAACACCCTCGCGAGGAAGTTAGGGGCCACGTGTTATGTGGAAGCCTCGCCGGAAGTGGAGAAAAAAGTGAGGAGGACTATCAACAATGCTCTTGCTTCTGTGCTTAAAGTTCAAGACGGTTCACGTGATGTACAAGCAAATGTGTGTACAATATTGTAAATGCAGCACGTCTTCTCGCGAGAGATGAGACTCAAGAAGGCGAGACAACGGGAACTCATTTCTGAGGGATATAAATACACTTAGGAGTATAGTGTGTTTTCTGTGTGCCTTCGAATGAACTGCTACCTTGTTTTACGTGCAATGCTCAAGCGATTTTTCGTGAATGTACACCTTCCTTTCCCAAGGTCAATTATTCTCGTCAGGTGACCAGCCTTAGTCAGTCTCAGATAGTTTATCGTCTGCCACGAGAAGAGAACGACGGATGTGAAGGGTCACATAGTGTGTCTGACCCATATATTTTTCTAGTCCACGTATATATTTCGCCCGTCTTGTGGAGCCAAGTCGCAAGAAGTCAAACTTCACGTCAACTGACCAATGTCTTTCTGGCTGTCGTCTGCTCGTTGTCGCAGAAGTGAACAGATCTGAACGGAAATTAACTGAGAAACCCCAATGCATATAGGACCTGTATATGCAGACTATGTCAGACTAGTATATAGATCATCGGTGTAGTTGAGCGATCCCTCAGAATAACAAATAACACAAGCTGAACTAAGCCTTGCTTTCCACTCGGCACAGCAGTCAATATGATTACAATTAACACAGTGTTGTTCAAAGTTCAGCCACAGCAAAAGCCTTTTGTAGCATGACAGATTGCCATTCGATATTTGCAACTAAAATAATTCTTTATAATTCCGTATAATCTGACCGTCATGATATAACACGGAAGTAATATAAAATATTTCGGTGTTTTTAACTTTTTTTGATCTTATGATCCAGATGGAAGTACTGCTGATGCGAGTTGTCTTGCATGGGCACTCCATACAAAGTTTTATAAGTCCTTTAAGCAAATAATTACGTCGTTTTCTGTATATGAAGGTACCCCAACAAAACATGTTCGGTTTCGCCCAAAACTGACTTTAACAATTGACATAACATGACATGACATGACATGACAGCAATGTTCAATCATCTGTTCTATGTTATTTACTGAAGAGGTCAGGGATTTATCTGAACCTACTAACAAGCCGATATTTGATCCAAGGGCTACAGGCGATGTAAAGTAACACTTCATGTTAACAGATTTATGAAAAGTATGACCAAACTGTTCACTGACAGCGGGGCCATTTAAACTGAAAAGGTTTTAAGTACTTAATTTCTATGATTTTGAATGAATACAGACTTAATAACCAATGAACTTTCAAGAAAACCTAATTTTGAAACTTGTTAATCATCTCGCCAAAGTATTTTAGTTTGGAATCCGATATAAATCCTCGTTATGGAAATACGGACAATCGTTACTTCTTTAAAGGGGCGCTGGGGTAGCCTTGTGCTATAGCGTTCACTCGTCACGCCAATCGGGGTCGACTCGCCACATTGGTACAATTTAAGAAGCCCGTTTTTCACCGCCTTGATATTGCTGGAATATTGTTAAAAGCAGCGAGAAACCCACTCACTCAATTCTTTGGACGATTTTCTGACAAAGTACGAATTTCAAAGTATTTATACTGCAGCCTTTAGCACTCCATCCCAAATTGTAACTTAGATGAACGCTAACAGCATGACTAGTATTCATAACAAATAGCGATGGCAGTAATTACCTATGTTATACGTTTCATTCACACTGGAGCCATCTCACACACGTCTTAAGGAGTCGTTATGATGATTTAACCATATGTCTTTGATAGGCAACGGAATATTCGCAAGTAGTTTATATTCTTTATCTTGTCATTTCCCTCCGAAGATACCCTTTATTATCTTGTTTACTCCCACCAGTACAATCAACTTCACTATGAGGCAATACATAATGGTAGTATTTCTATTTTGAGCATACGTAAAGCACTGGTTGTTCAGAACTGTCACGTAAGATATTTCCCTTTAAGCATCAAGATGCTTGCGAACTCTTAACCAAGCTTAACGGTAATTAAATGACACGACATATGACGTTAATTAATCGTATTTTGAGTGAAGTATTTCGCCTGAGGGAAATATCCATGAACACTGTCATGTAACCTACATGAACCACATTTTATTATACAAGGACAACTGACCTAGTTTGGGTGTTGATGTGCTTTTCATAGGGTTATGTTTTGATTGTCAACCTTGACCAGTTTATGGAAGTATATCTGAACTTCGGTCCATGTTTTCGCTCCTACGTACAATGTCCGATCTGAACAAAACAAAGCCGAGCATTAAGATTTGTTGATATTGGATTTGTATTTATTTATTAACGTACATATTTTGATATACATATGTTATTTTAAGAGTTGTAAAATAAAATACCACGTTTTGTTACAGCTTTAGAAGATGTTTTCACTTTGATTATGTCACGTTTCTGTGTTAAATGTTACACCTTATAAGTGTAAGGATCGTGGAATGACATTTAGTAAATTTGTAATGCACGTTTGACAATTGCTGCATATATGTAAATATAACTTTAAATTATGCTGTGAAATAAATTTTGAATACATTTCTCGTTTTTGTTTTCACTGTTATTTACGCTCTTCCCCGAAAAGAAATGCAAAGAAGTTAATGAGACACTTCAATTTGTTTATTCCAGAAACATTAAATACAAATGCAATATTTTTGATTGGGAGATGTTTGTCACATGCTCTCTAACTGGTGAACACAACAGTTTTACATGTTGGCAGCTTAAAGCAGCAAGTTTTGTAAGACTGCACGAAAATGTCGAGGAAAGGAAATTTAAAGCGGAATGCACGTGCAAGTTATGACAAGCATGCGCAGTGACGATAAAGTCAAATGTCACACAACATTTTGCCAAAGGTCTGTGGACATATTTGAAGTGGGAAAATGCCAAGACTATTCTGCCAGTCGCAACATCGCCATGGGACATCTTGAGGTTGGAGCGACCCAGTCTGCGGCTGCACGCCATTTGAACTTCAGGGCACCATATATCGTTTAAAGGATCAGCATACTCGGCTCAGTTCAACAACTGAGATTTTAAACCAGAGTCATCAGCCCTACACAAGATGGCTACATCTGGTTCATCAACAGGCTACTGGCACCGATACTACGAGTGATTGAGTATGATTTCACGCCGCTTTTACCAATATTACAGCAATATCTCGGCGGGGGACACCAGAAATAGGCTTCACACATTGTACCCATGTGGGAAATCGAACCAGGTCTTTGGCGTGACGAGCCAACGCTTTAACCACGAAGCTACCCCACCGCACCTATAGTCTACGACACGTGCTTTGTTTGAGGCGGGTATCGGACCAAACAATCAGGAATCGTCTGCGAAAGGCAGGACTTAGACCCAGAAGAACAGATATTTGTATTGGGACGTTTGCATCGACTACAACGTATGCGATGGAGCAGCGCCGAGCTGTTACTATGGAATTCTTCTTCTTCTCCAACGTGGAAATGGAAGACAGCCTATCTACCAACAACGAAATGAACGTTTCGATCCAAAATGCATTCGACAGGTCGACAGTTTGGGTAGCCATATCCCACACATGGATATCTGACTTGGTGGTAGTTGTTCAGAGGACTGACAGCAAATCGGTACATCGACCTAACCTTTCAACGTCACCTTCTGAGAGAGTTGTTTCAACATGAGAAAGTTACACCGCACGCGTGTGACTGCGGATTTCATAATTCAAACATCAATATATTGGCATCGCCCTCCGAATCTGCGGCCTCCGATAGAGGAACTCAATGGACGTCAACGTCAATTTTCGTCTCCTACACTTTTTTTCTATTTTTTATAGTTTTTGATTTTGTTGCATTTTTCAACATTTTATACAAACAAATAACAATGATATTCCAGTATACATGATGAACAATATAATAGTTTTAGCAGAATAAATCATGACATGACGACCAGAACGTGTAGAAAGCATTGATATTACAACTACTTATTGACGAACACTTTGTTAACATATAATATTCAATCAGTTTATGTTGAAAAACTTGAAAAGATGGCATAATGTTGTTAAACTTATTTCGAAAAATTAGTTCCTTGAAGAGAATTAAGATGATATTTATTGGATCATTGTTTTTATTTGGGTAACCAAGCATTACATGTTTCTTTTCAATTTTGAGTTTTATTTGTGCTTTAGCATGTAGCTAGTTCTCAAGTTTTTTCCATATATGGTTTACCTTGCTGCAAGACCAGAATGGGTGGATAGTTGTTTCTATATCTTCGGAGCAAAAAATGCAATTATTAGTGTCTTTATATCCTATCTTTTCTAAAAAAATGTTTGGTGGCAAGATATGGTCTAAAAGTCTGTATTGGAACCATTGTAATCTAGTATCTTTCGTACATCTAAAGGGAATAGTATTGTAAAGTGGCCAATCATTAGATATAATGTCGTCGTATAAAATGTTTAGTTCCCATTTCGATGCATGTTGGTTTTTTAAACCTAGACCTGAAATTAGAGTTTTGTACAAGTATTGCGTCCCTTTTACATTCTTACAGAGAGTCTCATACACTTGAAGTAAGAATGGAGTGAGTGAGTGAGTTGAGTTTTACGCCGCACTCAGCAATATTCCAGCTATATGGCGGCGGTCTGTAAATAATCGAGTCTGAACCAGACAATCCAGTGATCAACAGCATGAGCATCGATATGCGCAATGGGGAACCCATGACATGTGTCAACCAAGTCAGCGAGCCTGACCACCCGATCCCGTTAGTCGCCTTTTACGACAAGCATAGTCGCCTTTTATAGCAAGCATGGGTTGCTGAAGGGCTATTCTAATAGACCCGGACCTTCACGGGTCAAGTAAGAATGGAAGAAATACTACAGGACAGAATCCGTGGACTCATTTAGTCAGTGCCAAGGAAGTGCAGAGCGGCGAATGCGTGAGTTTGATTTTACTCCGCTTTTAAATATTCTAGCAAATCACGGAAACCAGAAATTTAGCTTAAAACAGTGTACCCATGTGGGGAATCGAACCCGGGTCTTCGGCGTGACGAGCGAACGCTTTAACCACTAGGCTACCCACCGCCCATTCATGTACTAACTGGAACGTACGCGTCTTATTACAGGGCAATCAGGGCACTGCTATTATTTCTTTAGAACGTGACTATTGTCATGTTTATGTTAGTTTTTTTTATCCTTGTATCAATCAAATTAACTGAAATATGCACATTTAATTAAATATTTTAGTTAGTTATTTTTTTAGAGAGCGATTCCTCTCCAAGACACAGGCCTGTGCATAACGTTCTCCCACGCGTCTATAGGCACGTTGACGTCCATCACTATGGGAAATGTTAAACCTGGACTCATCTGTAAACACATTTCTCCACCAAGACAAGGGTCTGCGGACATGATTTCAGCACCACATTCGGCGAGCTTGTCGATGACGTTGTGCCAGGATAGGCCTTATGGCGGGACGTCGTGGTCTGATCCCGTGATGACGTAAACGTTGTCGAACTGTGTTGGGGTGGATACGGCGAAGTCCTGGGATGGTTCGGGCAGTCATCACTGCAGTCTGAAACCTGTGGCGAAGATGGGTCACCCTTATCCATCTGTCCTGTCTTGGCGTTGTTACACGTGGACGTCCAGTACGTGGCCGATCGATGACGTCATTTGTGTTAGCGTCTCACCAGTGTAGAAATGGTGTTCCGGTGGCAGTGGAAATGTGCAGCCACCTGTCGTTGAGACATTCCCCCACGGACCATCCCAATGGCCTCATGACGTTGTGCAGACGTGAGCCTTGGCATGCTATGCGTTTCAATAGCCGTTTAATTTTTTGAACGATCGCAAGGGCAGGGGTAAAGCTTTCCAAAGTGATAGTATTGTGTGGCATTCATTTGCTATGTTTCTCTTTCTCGGAATGCACGTGCAACAACGTATTGCACGTCTCACGGACGAACCCACTGACGTCACGGAACGTGGCACGTGCATGTATATTGGATACATGTCACTAATCTCTGAGTTTAAATCCTTGTGTCTCCACAGGTTTGATAAATTTAGATTTTAAATTTTGTATGCACAGTTTCTTTATGTGCCTAGTATGTATGGCGGCGGTCTGTAAATAATCGAGTCTGGAACAGACAATTCAGTGATCAACAGCATGAGCATCGATCTACGCAATTGGGATACGGTGACATGTGTCAACCAAATCAGCGAGCTGACTACCCTATCACGTTAGTGGCATCTTACGAGAAGCATGGATAACTGAAGATCACTTCTAATCCGGATCTTCACGGGTCAGACAGGTCAGGAATCGATTGCTGAAGGTGACGTCATCAGCAACAAACGCCTTGGGGTAGATGGTCAGTTGACAGACAGCGGCCAGGCGTCTCAAAGATCAAGGAAGCATGGCTTACAGACCTTACAAGGACAGTTATTGACAGCAGACGGTCGTCTTCACTGATGAAAGCCAATTTTGTCGGTTCAGAGCTGAAGGAAGACAGGGTGTCTTGCAGCAGGGTTGGTCACACACGATACTATAATGTGACGTGGCACTGAACTTAAGCGATGTTTCACTTCTGTGTCCGTTGTCCATTACGTTGAAAACGTGTTTATTTTATTGCTGCCCCACCTCAGTTCGGGTAACTATCATGCCAACATAGGTCGCTGTGTGACTGTCACTGTGTAGTTGTGACTTTATAATTGGTTTACTTAAGATTTTGTTCTTTCAATATAGTATACTCCACGCATCTGTCTTAGATAGACTGAATCGTCTATATTGGCTAGGAACGTTACTATGTACGATATCTGTTGTGTTTTTGGCAATACGCACACAATGTTTGTGACTTGTAAGTCACAATCAGAACACTTTTTCGAAATATTTACGTCGTTTGAAAATACTCCCGAAACACCGGGCGTGTACTTTCCTTTGTTCGTCAGGTTAGATTGAATTAGATCTATGGTAGAGTTTCTTTTGATCACCAGTATATATCATTCATAATCCTCCGTTTAAACAGGGAAAACCTAAATATTTACTCTATCAACGTATTTGACAAATCAGTGAGAAACAAACTTATATTTTAAATGAGTTGAGTTGAGTTGGGCTTTACGTCACATCAGCATTATTCCAGCCATATAGTTACGAGATCAACTTTCCATTCATTACCATTTTAAGAACATGGTTCAAAAGGGTTATATTTCAATATATACTGAACATCATTGAAAACGCACCAGTCTAAATTGTCCATATTTCCATCAAGATGGATTTCAGCATGACAATGATCAATGAATATAACTAACATGAAGTCGAAGGGCATGTCCAGTTGAAAAAATGCTTTAGAAACAAATCCCTGTCCACAGTATGACTCTTAATTCCAAAATGCATCAACATGCAGCCACGCCATGAAAAAAGCGCGAATTTCATTCTGAAATCATACTGACTGTGACATTAAAAGCAGGTGTATGAGAACCGATTCTCATTGCTTCACTAACGATTGTGAAACGAGGACAGAGATGCCGAGGTTAACACCTCACGAAAGAGAACGTGCACTAGGCATGATTCAGGTTGGCACCAGCAGCAGGGATA